GTGGACACTGGAGCTCGGGTATTACGTAGCAGTTCATACACCAAGTACTATTATTTTATTAACTTTTAAGAACATGTTTTACATAAAAACAGGCAACATCAAAAAAGCTCAGTTGATAAATGAACATAATATATCACAGATGATTTCATCCACATTAACCTACATTTATTAGCTTAAACTGGGAGATTAGGGAAAAAATTGGATCTCATTCCAGCTTTAATCATGGATACAAATCGTTTGAAAGTTATTTCATTAAGATTCTGAAAATCAAAGATTAACCTGTGCCATCTGATCCATGCAGCAATTGATAAATTCAGTATTTTCGAAGGAAACACTGTTTTTTTTTCTTGCACCAAATTGAAACCTTTCAGAAACTTGTTTAAATGCATCAGGTTCCTAGCCCACCTTTTCAGTATGCATGAGCAAAATACTATTTAATTTCACACTCAACTAATCCTTTAATAATTTTCTTTTCAGCCAGATTGAAAAAGACCATTATTAATTTCCTAATAAAATTAAAAAAAAATAGTTATCGAGGATGTGACTCTAACCTTGGACCAGTTTCAATTTCTTTTTTATTTTTTTCTGAGAATATATCAAAGATTAATGTCAATGGTCAGTGAGAAATTGTCCCTAGAGAATTATTCAAGGTCTTTTTCTTAACCACATTCAATTGGACTGGAATGAATTGACATTATAGCGTGTTTATCATCACTTTTAAAATCCTACTTTCTCTTAATACCGACAGTGAAGGCTTTTAGAACTATTATTTACTTTAAGTAAGTTAATAAAGTATATCACAGACAAAAATATACAGTTTTACATTGAAGCAACATTAAGGGTCTCACATCAGTTAACCAAAAAAGAATGTTGAGGACATTTACAGGTAGGGTTTAATTGTAGAGATTGCTCTTCCTTTATGAAAAAGTATGAAACTAGAGCTCTCACTTGTCTCCAAGGGCAAGAGATTGCTAATCTCATGATCAAAACACCTGCCGGTTAGAGGCTCACTCACTGAAAAATGATCGCATAGCTTCAGCGTTGAAGGCCGAGAATGACGACAACAACAACAAAAAATCCAAAGGAAAAATAGAAACCACACCACGCAGAGGCATTCTCGGCTTCTACATTGAATTTCCTGTTTCCCACCAGTTTACGACCCTTAATGTTACTGGATGAATGGTTGCATATTTGAGATGATTAAAAAATAAAAGACTGCCTTAAAAGCACCACCTCCTCAAGTATGTAACTACATACAAATGGAAGATTCCTTCTGACAGACAGTCCTAGGGACCCCATTTGTTACTGTTTCATGTATAAGCACCATTGAGCCAATTTTTAAAGCACATTTGCAGTGATCAAATGTGTCCTCAAGTTTTGCTGATTTTTTTGTCTTTAAACCAAGAAAGTGTGAAGTGCATATCATATTACGTGCTTATCATATCCTAATTGACAAAAATGTTAATTTGGAAGTGCTTTTAGTCACTATTTTCCTCAACAGACCAGAATGGCTTCATGAAACTTGATTAAATAAAGAAATCCGTATCTCCCAAAGAAGCATATATCTGACCCTCTATCACTGCATGCAAAATAAGGGTCTGTCTGAGAGCATTTTTCCCAAACTCTTAATGGAAATGGCAGACAACACGCAGGAAAGGCTAACCCTTGAACTGACCAACTTCAAGTTTTAAAAAATCTTTGATTGGATTTCCCCCCCCCCCCGCCCCACCCTGAAATCATATAACAGTTTAAAAAATTAACGATTTACAAATTATAGAAAAGATACATTATCTACAATATATGCCAGGTTGACTCATTATTTGTTTTTAAACCCACATCCAAATGAATAATTACATTAAACTACCATCTTGGATCTTGGTGCTTTCTAAAATTCTGAATTCACAATGAGGGAACATACCTGATTTTTTGGTTGTTCTTTTCTCGGGAAAATTGGGCAGAGAAAAGAAGGCAGCGAACCTTCACTCTTTGGAACAGGCCCTCTATAGCAAACTTCAGCCTGGGGCACCTTTTTATGGTCAAATTAAAAACCTTTGAAATTAGATGTTTATCAATCATGGAAATGCTGACAGATCCTGACCCAGAGGCTAGCAGGCAACACAATAATATTAAGAAAGCTCTCCCTCAAGCACAATTGCCTTTCAGCACAGGGGATAGAGTTGTCTAATGGGCACTGCTGGCCAGCAAACAACCATGATTTAATGTACATGAGCGACCCTTGGTCATACGATAGCTCCGTGACCCTCTAAGCTAAGCCAATTTTTCTTTTCTTCTGTTTTTTTTTTTTCCAGCTGAAACATAAAGGGTAAAGGATTGCAATTTTAGCCTTCATTCATGGATATATTGCTTTTTTTCAACAGTATTTGATGGGCCTGTTAACCACCACCCGTGCAGGTCCTGAGCAGGTTCTAGGAAGGTCTCACTGAACACAAAACACCAAGCGTTTTCAGTAGTTTATTTGCAATTTTTTCTCTGCTTATTTTAGTATGCACCACGTGTAAGTTAGATAAGGGCTACAGTAAAAACATTTTCAATGACTGAAATCTTACTTTTCCTTCTAATGATCTGGAGCAAATCACATATTCATTGATTATGACGAATAAAATGATTTCTGCTACAATGTCGAGAAAAAAATGTGTTCATCAATATGAACAGTTCTCATCTACAGAGATGGTTTACACGATGCAAGTAATGAAAGTTTTTTCCTTAACAAGTCTACTACCAAACTGAAACAAAATGAATCTTAAAATTCCCTTGAAAATACCGTATGGTTGGTCATGTATCAATAAAGGAAAGACAGTCCCCATCACCAGGCCACCACCATAAGAGCTATATTAAATACTTAGGAAAAAAAATGTGGAGACACTTGTGGCAATGATTAAATTGATAATTATAGCGATAGATACACTGCCGTAATGGTACATGTTTATTCTATAATAAAGTGAAATAAAAAATAAGATCATTTGGTTATAGAAATTCCTTAAAGAACACCACCACTTAATTATTTCAAACTTGAACTATCCCAAGAATGTTGTGAAAAAAAATAGAAAGTACTGGCTAAAAGCAAAAGCAGTCTGGGTACACCCACGTAATCAGCATGCCTTGTGCTTGTCTGTTAACCCTCTGAGTACATCTCTGACATTCAGGATCTCAATAGCTTAGTGCTGAAAAGATTGCATTCCATCTGATTACTCAATATTTCTACTTGACAGGTCACATTCCGCTGTTTATTCAGCAAAGATCGCTCAAATTCTACAGCGATGCACTGGGATCCCCATGCTGAATGGCCCTGCATTCTTCCGAGCTACCCCTCTGCAGTGTTCTGGGAAACACGCCACAGCTTCACACGGTCCACAGTCCTTCAAGACCTGGATGGAAAAAGGCCTGAGCCATGCACTGTAAGGTCTGTACACTAGATATTGGAGCAATACATGTAATGCCCACGGGAAAAGCAGTAATTCAGAGAAAGAAAGGAAAATCACAATCTCCTCTAGGTAGGTCTCTGCCCATAGGATTTTTTCACATTCCCACATTTAGAGTTGAGGCCAAGCTATTTACCTACTCCTTAGTCTTACTTAGAATAGTGCTTTGCTTTAGAGTTCTAGAGAAAGCAGTCGTTTCTGACCAGTTCAGGGAACTTTACTAATATGGAATCTACCTACACGCCGCACCCTTCCTCGTGTTCTGCCCTCCTCCTCCCCCCAAAATCCAGCTGATTTGTGCTACTTTGTGATGTTGTGTATTAAGCTTTCAGGACCCTCTAAAAGGGAGCGGCGGCGGGGGTGTGGGGGAATCTCAATAAATGATCTAATATATACATGGCAAGACAACACAGACCGAAGAGATAAACCTAAATGTGAAAGAGCAAAAAAACTGGGGGAACAATTTTGCAAAAGTCATGACATGCTGTGATTTTAAAATCTAGAGTAATATAGACCATACCTTCATCGGTTGAAGAGTAAAAAGCAGCCATCGAAGATCCATCTGTATTTGAAAGTAAGAACTGACTGTGGAAGTGCTGCACACAAATTTCAAGACTTTCAGGTATTGAAGTATATTTCAAAGCCGAGACAGTGAGTGCTGTTCAGCCATCTAGATGCAAGTTTCATGAGCCATCACTCACTGGTTGTCTCCCAGGCCACAGAGTTGAGTAAACCTTAGGAGGACATTCGAGTCGGGCCCCTGCCTCCCAACACCATGGCCAGCCTCCCCGCTAAGCATCGCAGTGACTACAGGCTGCCTCAGGCCCCCATTCTGAACGTGACACACTGCAGTAGAAGCTCACCGTGGGAGACACAGGGCTAGGGAGAAAGATTTGGTAACAGGAGTAAAATACACGTGTCGGACAGGACTTGGCCCAAAGAGAGAAAACAGCATCTCCCTCTGGATGGCTAAAGGCAGCGCTATAAAAGGTCATCTTGGGCTTCCCTGGTGGCGCAGTGGTTGGGAGTCCGCCTGCCGATGCAGGGGACAGGGGTTCGTGCCCCGGTCCGGGACGATCCCACATGCCGCGGAGCAGCTGGGCCCGTGAGCCATGGCCTCTGAGCCTGCGCGTCCAGAGCCTGGGCTCCGCAACGGGAGAGGCCACAGCAGTGAGAGGCCCGCATACCACAAAAAAAAAAAAAAAAGGGTCATCTTAGGGAGTGGAAGTTTCAGCCTCAGGAATACCCTCTAGGTCTCCCATTCCTGTTCTCTCTGAGAGACTATCATGTAGGTAACCCAAATATGCACATGGAATTATCTTCCCAATGGTTTATTTCTTTAAAAACCATTTTGAGACTACTCTAGATTGTTTGCCCACTCTGCTTTCTCCTCGGCCATCTTGCAGAGCACCTGCCTCTGGGCCTCTATGCCCCGGTGCTCCTCCTTTTTATGGATTCCATACTCCATGTGGATTGCACACTGAAGACTGAAATGCATGAAAAAGCAGGTGAGAAAAAGAACAGGATCTTGTTGCCTCTTTCTGTTTGACATTCCAGCCCTGTAGAGCACCTGGCAATTTATTGCTCTTTTCCACCAGTTGTGTGTTTTGTTTGTTTTTTCCTGTAGAGGTCTCATACTGAGCAGGCAGACTCTCACTCACCAAACACAGGACAAGGTATGGTGCCTTCCTGAGGGTCTGCGCTGGCAGTAGCAGCAGCTGAAGTGGAAGCAGCATTTCTGGGGCGTCATCAGCACATCTTCATATGGAGGCAATTTGGGGGTGAGGGCACCATCTATATTCTGGGTCAGGCTGTTGGTCACAGGCCCAAGTCCCTCCACTCAGGATGCAGGACTCAGGGCAGCTGACAGTTAGACCTCCAATGCAAAAAAAAGCCCCTTTCTTAATAGGATTGTGAAGAGGAAAGAGGGGGTGCTGATGCTTAAGTTATAAACCTGCCATGTTCTAAACCCACAAAAAAGGACACTCAAGATATCATTCTAGATGCTCTTCTTGTCTGGACATCTCAGCATCTAATAACAACCCCTTGATCTGCAGCAAAGTCAAGAAACATGTGTGTATAAGTCCAAAGGCCTGAAAAATCCCCCAAGGGTTCCCCATAAAATCCTATGCACTCAGAGGGTTAACAAGTGCTATGTTACATACTGCAGATCCTAGATTGACTGATGAAAACATTCATTGCTTCTATGTTTAAAAAAGTTGCAAAGTAGCCTTAACCCTTTGAGGACCCGATTAGCAGCAAGTTGCCATCTCCACTAACGACAAGTCACAGTCTCATTCAGCAAAGGGAAATCGCTACAAGGATACCAGAAAACACACTGTTCTGCTCGGCCATTCAAGCATTGAGTGCTGGGTAGATCAGATGAAACTGTTTTACATAAATTTGGAAAAACAAATCTCAGAGTCTCAAAGGGTTAAGCTAGGACTTCGAGTAAAAGGGTCTTGTTAAAAGGGCGAGTTTGGGGAGCGAACAGTCTCGGAGGAGCTCGGCGAGTAGTCTTCCGATTCCGAGTTGAGTTCGGGCGGAGCTGGCTGGGCCTTGTACCGGCTCCTCACATCCGGGTGGCGTCTTCGTCGGAAAACCTGCCTCTCCTTATCAAGAGCGGTGGTCTAGCAGGGGCATAAAATGAGAAAGAGGACAATTAGGCTGAAGGAAATGGCAAAAGGAACGATTTCTGGAACTTTCTGAGGTCAGAAAAATATGCTGGCTAGGTTAACCTGTCCACGATGACTCACTTTTGGTGACCACAGTCACCACTACTGGGGTGCCCTCTGCTCCCCCAGAAGCAGCTCCTAAGGGCACCTGGTCATGACATCGCAGGCACAGGCAGGATGGATGATGTCGTGGGTTCAACAGCTCCCTGGCCCTCCCCAGACCTCTGCTAGCGCCACATCTAATACCCTCGGTCGCTCCCAGCCTAGCCAGAGACCCCCTGGTAAATGGGAGCCTCGGGCCTGTGTGTCCGACACGTGAGGACGCCAGGCATGTCTCGTTCATCAACATTCAGCTCCAGGCAGCTGTCTAATAAAGATGAGAGGTGATGAAGTTGTCAGACATGGAAACAGAGCCACAAGCTCGTCCTGTTATTTTAGCACCTCCTCATTCTAAATGATCTTATTATCGGTTGATGAGGGAGTATGGCTCAAACTCTGGCAAGGATGGGTTTAATCTGAATGAACCCAATGCCTGAAATTGAAAACTGCTTTGAATGCAGTTAAACCTGATGGAAACCTTCCCATGGATTTTCCTTTACAAAGTTCATTTTCATTGTAGTGTGTGGTAATTTACGAAACTGAGGTTCGATGTTGTAGGTATTCCAACTCTTGGGCCCTATGCCTCCTTTTCCTGAGGAAACATCATATGATCTCCAGGATGTGCTCTCCAGCCATAGCTCTGGAAGTTATTATGACATCAGGATTGGGAAGGGCATGACTTCATTACAGATTTAATGGGTGTGAGGAGGAACGGATCATTACAGAGAAACCTTACACAGAGGGCAGAAGAGCAGGTACAAAGCCTGAAGAAAAATGCAGAACACATATAAAAGTTGAAGGCATCCTTGTTTGAAAGTCCCTCTTTAAAAGGATGTAGCCTGGAGGTTATCCTGCTTTTAAGAGATTACTTTTCCTCTACAGGGATATATACAACCATGTTTCCTCTTGGAAATTTACTGTTAGCTTCTTCAAAGAACAGAGATGATAAATTTACAGCCAGCCGGGTTCTGAGAACAAAGTGGAAACTAAGCCCCTCATACAACTGCAGTGTAGCATTAGAGCAATCTCAGATCTAAAATGGGGCAATCAAAGTTCCAGAATGAAGTAATAAAGAAAGAGAGGCAGTGTGTAGAAACCAGTACAGTAAATGGCTTCATGAGGCTGAACTCTTCTGCTTTAAAAACTATCCACACACTGAATAACAGTGTTTGTTACAAATCAATGAGGAAGATAAACTTTAATAATTCACTTCTCGTTTCACTAGATTGTTAATACAATGATTCAATAACTGGTGTGTTGAAACGTCTACCTTTGATTCTTCGAAGTGTCGAATTTTTAAGGACCCTCAACTCACATACATAGTTCTTGGTCTTATACCCACCGATTTTATGATCTTTTTCAGCATCATAAATCCAAATTCCTAACTATTTAAAACATTGTAAAGTTACAACACATGGTATTTTGCTTTCAAAGCAAACTGAAAATGCTGTTTGTGTAGAGTTGAATGTAAAAAACAGGCGTCTATTTAGTCTGACACATAAAAACCACTCTGTAGTTAATCCAAGAGTAATATAAACGCTTCTCTTGGTCATAAAAAATATTTTTACTTCTACCTTCTTGAGAAAGAAAACAGTCACTGGCATGGGACTAATACTGACTAGTGGACTGAGGTTCGGTTCTCTAGTGTCGGGGAGAAAATTGCACAGCGGGTTTGTAGTCAGAAATTTTGAGTCCTGTTCCGTCCACTGCTGACCGTGGGAACCGTTCACTCAGTTCTCAGTTAAATAAGGAGCAGGGATAACGCCCTCCCACCCTCCAGAGTTGCTGTATGTAAAAATGGATGTGCAAATGCCTTCAAAATGGTGAAGACTCCCAGAAATGGAAGGTGGTGTTTTGTTTTGTTTTTCTTAACAATGTAAGATATTGTTTTGAAATGAAGGAGCTGCAGGTCGGAGGAAAACAATGCAAAACAAAGCTCCCATTAGAACTTACCTCAGAGTACTTTCCCTCCCTGTCTACTCTCACTGGCACCTTCTCCGTATTTACCTCATCTCCCCATAATTGACTCAATTATTCCAAGTCACGCTCTTGGCTGTCAGCACTGAAATACGCCATTTCTCCACCAATACTGTACCGCAGTTTATGCAGACGCTGGTGGCACTCATGGGCTTGGGTGGTCCTATTCCCCCTTATTTTCATGTTCATTTCTCCAGATGCTCATAAGGTCAGTCACATTCTCTTCCTTACTTGTCCCTCTGCCTGGACAGCCCTTGCTCTGTCCCATTTAAGCAGTCAGTTCTGGCCACTCCTGCCAGTTTCTAGTTAGCAGCTTTTAAACGCTGGCCTTTGCTGATGGGCCTTCATGCTCAAATGCTCCTGAGCTTTCAGTTGGGCTGATTCACCAGTAACTTCACAGCAGCTATTTTTGGAAACATAGCACGTCATGATCACAGGTCATGGAAAGGGGTGTGATGGTTGTCTCTGTTGGATGTATAGACTCTTAGAGTTGAAAGAGCATTTATAAAGCATTCTTCACCCAGGGCTTGGCCTTTCCAGAGGCCCAGGTGTGTGGAGAGGCTTTTGCCCGTATCGCGTCGCTGACTAGGAATGGAACTCACTTCTCCTCCCACATGAGGCCCAGGCAACGTATTCCCATGTAAAGTCTACTGAAACAGAACTCAAAGGAGCCACCGCACTCCAGTGGTTCCCTCCTCCGGTCCCAGCCAGGGTGAGCCAGGAAGGAGGTAGCACAAGCAGAGGCCAAAAGACCAGGGCTTCCCGTGCTGACGGCCCAAGAGCTCTCTCAGGGACAGCAAGCCAGCCTCCAGCACGTGGACAAGCCCATTCTGGGCCTGTAAACTCCTAGGGAGACCTGGGTCTGCTGATTGATAGACAGGCAGTTCCTGACTCACTCAGGTGCTCGCCACATTCTCAAATGCTACCCAAGCAATGCTTAGTGCCCCCAACAGACTTGCTCCCAAAGATGACTGAGAAGGCATCACTGTCCACAGGCCTCTCCTCCCAGGGCTCCTGCTTATTCTGCTTCTGGCTCTGTGGACTGTGGTTCATTTTAAGAACTTCTCTGTGTTCCCATGAAGCCCAGTACAGCTATCACTGTGCATCCTGCCTACAACGCAATTGACTCTGATGCACTGTCTTCCCTGCCACATTGTAGACTCTGTGGAGGGCAAGATCACGTCTGGACATCCGGTCTGTGTTCCCCACAGCTCATAGCACACAGGAGATACTCTCCAAGTGCCGTGGCTTTAGAAATATAAGAAAGCACAACAGAGGTCGCATTATTTCCCTCTAGAGCAGCCAACCCCCAGCCCATCCTGCACACAGCAGGTCGGATTTGTTTACAATTCCTCATAAAGTTGGACTCCTTGTCCTAACAGTCACAATGTGCTTACAATAAAAACTTCCAGGGTCTAGTTCCCGTTATTACTTAAAGTGAGCCTGTGATATCAGCAGACCTCATGTCCCCGTTAGTGGGCACAGCATCCACTTAGCCTACGGCCAACCACGCCTCGGTTTCCCTTTGGAAATCCCCCGCTCACGTAATCTGTGGTTCCAGTGAAGGGGACCCTACCTCCATCTCTGAGGGTGGGGTGCAGATGGGTTTGTGACCCAGAAGCAAGCCTGTGCTGTGTTCGCCAATACCCGTGATTGGTTCAGGATGGGCACCCGACCCAGTTCACGGGACACGAGGAGACGTTCACTGAGACCGCACACTCACAGTGAATCCCAACTGAGAGGATAGCAAGCCTGGAGCTGCTTCCCACATCCTGGTACCACGTGAAGTTCCAGACTAAAGCCATCACAGGGAGGCAGAGAGGAGGGATGGAAAGAAACCAAGCCCTACCGAGTCCTGAATCCACACATCACTGAAGCCAGACCTAACCTCTGGACCTTTCAGATTACTTCTTCTTTTTGCTGAAAGCCAGTTTGGTCTGGGTTTTCTTCCCTTGCGATCCAAACAGTCCTAACTGATATCTCTCTGAAGGTACTTTAATCAACGCTCACCTCTGCATCCTGGCTTACTGTGTTCACCAACCTGACATCACCTCTCCCACTTCCTGCCCACTCGCATTTCTCTATTTTCCAAGATTTGATCAAATTTTACCTTCTGCATCACACTTTTTCTTTCTAAATTCCTCAGGCAAGTACTGTCTTGACCAAACTTTTGACACTTACTGCACACAGGCCTATTACCTTTCCTTTGCATATTTCCCAAATCCCATGCAAGCTGCTCTAGGGTAGGATCTGAAACTTCTTTGCTTTTTTCCAGAATGCCTAGCCAACTGTGACACACATATAAGGGACATATTAAATATTTCTTAGTTAATACAGAATTAGATTATTTTAGGTGATTATGTACTTTCCGAATAGCAATGACAAAACAGAACCCCGAACAACTCTATAATACAAAAGAGTAAGAAGTTAAAGGTATTAGGAGTCCAATATTTAAGAGTGCAATTTGTTTTAGATATGATCAAATGCTTACATTAGATAACATTAATAACCTCATATATTTATCTACTCAACAACTACATATTGTGGTCCAATTCCTTATCACAGTAAGCACTGTTATATATGATATCTTTAGAATTTTAAGTGTAGCTGTAAAATTAATTGCCTCTAAAATCTGTACAGTTAAAATTTTACAGTTGAATTCTGTGGCCCGACATGTAGTTCAAGACAGATGAATTCAGCAAAGAAATAGAATAATAGGCCAACACATAATTTTTTAAAGTATTGCTATAAAAATATATATTATCCAACTGGTAATTTTCTCCCCAGAAAACACTCAAAGCATAACTTTCCCTCTGAAGTGCTGTATCATAGATTTAAATTCAGGGCCCTTTCAACCATTTCTGAAAGACTGCTTTCCT